ATTGTAATAATGGTCATGATCATTATCATGCTAGCTGAGTAAAAAACCAAAATTAGCAAATCATTGAGTTTCTTTGTCTGCGTGGGCTTTTCTGCAGACTCACATCTGTCTGGTTTTGTCACTTTGGATACTGTTTTGCCCTAGCGTCAGTGGTAACGTGGATGTGGACACGTGTGACAGTCAGAACTACTTGTCTGCAAATTCCCTCTGCAGCAGTCAGTCAGTCAGTGCCGTGTTTCCTCGCCGTGATACAGCGATTTTTCTATGCCCTTTCTTCCTGCTTTCCCTTCTAAATTCATGATCTGTGTACTGAAGAACGACTCACTCTCTCCAGACCCAGGCATGAATTTACTGCCTTCTGAACAGTTTATCTTTCTTTTTTTCTTCTACAGTCATTGTCTTATCACTATTCAAGACAATGAGATCAGATGTACTGTTTGCTCCCCACCAAGAAGTTTATTTTGCACCTATCTTTTCAACTGGATTATTTTAAAGGACAAGACTGTCAAGTGGAAATAGTAGTAGCAGTAGTGTTTTAGCCATAGTGGTTTAAGGATATATGAAAGACAATTTTTACATGGAGAGATAATAAGAAGTAGGGGGTAAGAAATAGTGGGGAGTAAATATTGAAAGGCTTAATTGTTCATTCTGGATTTTTAAAAATCTTAAGTTATCAGATGCCTTTATGTTGTTGTTCTTTATTTTAGAAATCTTGTGATGCTTGACTTACTTACTCCCAAAATGCCTAATTTTGATTCACTTGAAACAAAAATACTGTGTATGAACTAAAATTCAAATGGGTTTTGTAAACCTCATCCACAATCGTATGTAGCACTGCTGTAAGATATTTTATTTTATAAAAAAAACCACTGCAGATATGTTTGGGTTCTGTTCTTTTTTAATGTAAAAAAATCTTTGCATGGATAACAGAAAGTCAGACTGATTTCACCATATATTTTCTGTGGTCAGCTAGACCTTATTGCTGCAGTGGTTTTCTGGCAGGGTTCTGCAGTAGCACATATCGGAGAGAGGAGTGAGACCCCTGCTCCTGCAGCTAGGCCATCAGATGCCATTAGGTCTTCTGCTAAGCCTTGCTGGACGAATGCATTCAAGTACCAGGTCCCTAAGGAACATCTCTTAGATAAATACCAGAAACATCCACTCACCCAGAATCAGTGCACGTTTTGATAGACTGAGCAGATCTTGTTATACATGTTATCTCGTTACATTTGTCTAGGTTTTGCTCTGTATGTTTATCTTCAAATTGACAGCCACCTAAAATGGGCTTTTTATACGCTGAAAATTAAAGGTAGTTTAGTGTAAGCTATTTTCACCGCAGGTACTAAATAATGTCTAGAGAAGACATGTTTTTTATGTTTTCCCAATCTTTTAACGTTTGTAAATATCATTGTGTGTTCCATATTGAATACTCTTTAACCAAGTGTTACCCTCTCTTTTAAATGGGTAAGAAACTGAGGGTCATCTAAAATAATTTTGATTCACGAAAGAAATTCATAGGCTGAAAATCAATCCCAGGACTCGAGAGTGTTATATCATTGATTTAGTCACAAAGTCATCTGGTCTCTCAAAAAACTACATGATAAGCAAGCTTACATACATATGTACCTATAAGTGTAGATACAAAATCTATAGTAAAATTATTTAATGATATAGAAAAATGAGGGGGTTTTTTTGTCGCTTACTCTAGGGTGTGTGACACCCGTTGGCTAATCTGAGCTAAACAATTTCTGACCGTGTTAATCTTTGAAGAGCTTACAGTTATCCTGTTTAGCATGGAGGGAAGTGGGATTTGGAGAGATGTACAAATCTGGATATTTTTAAAATATTTTTTTCTTAGAGGAAATATGTTTCTGTAGAAAGTGAGAGGTAAGTCAGAAAAATGAAGCACAGTATCATTCTCAAGTAGCTTTTTAGCCAAAGAGAGGAATTACACACTTCCTGAGAGCCTGCAGTTTGGTACTGCAGTTGTGTAGAGGGTAGCAATGAAAAATGATCTTCTCTTACTTCATTTCTTAGGAATAGCTCTTTCTGCTGGTTTTGAATGTGTCTCTTTCACTGTCTATTAATTGTGAATCTCAGCAGATGAGGTTTGCAGGTCAAGATAAAAAAAACCTCCAAAACCTACACATAGACATAGCAGTAGAGTGTGCCTGGAAATCCTGTCTTCAATAAAATACAAAGATTTCAGTAAGAGTCTGAGGAACACAAATTTGGTATTTGATGATGAATTAAGTCTGTATCTTCCCATCACACTGCTGGATTCACTGCCAATTTAATAGGAGGAAAATACCCATTGATTTCAAGAGACTTTGGGTCAATCTGTCAGAGTATTGACAAAACCGAGAGATTTCTCATATACCTACAGTATATATTCCTACATTAATCTTACTAACAATCCTTCTACTTCAGTGCTGCAGAGAGCTGCTGCAGAAAACAGTTCAGCCTGAACCTTGACTTGTTTCCAGTGAAGGTAAAGATGGAATTGTTATAGGGCTGTCAGGATCCAGGTCTCTTTGCACTAGCTGTACATAGATACTAAAGACAAATGATTCACGGGCCTTTGTTTAGATTTCCCCCAGCTTCGTCCAAACCCTTTCTCCCAGGCTGGAGAGCTGCCACTGGCAGGAGACACTGCCATGGAGAGAATATTATCGGGCGAAAGAGCCCACTGGCAGGAAGCTGCTGAGGGAGGAATGAGAGGCACGGCCAGGAGGGTGATATGGTAGAGCTGGAGCCATGAGCTAAAGCAAAAGTGAATTGGTTTTGGCTGGGCAGCTCCTAGAGCAAGAAAAAGGGCACATTTAGCTGCTGGAAGCCCCACAGATTCCTCACAGCAGGACACAAGGCAATCACAAATCTGGCTGGCACTCTGGTTATACAGTGGAGCAAGCCAGCTGGCTGTCCAGGGTGAGAAATTCAGGCATAAGGTGGGAAGGAGGGACAGTGGGAAACTAGGGAGCTAGTTCCCACTTTGGGAAACTAGATGCATTTGGCTCCTGAGTTTTGCTTCAGCTTAATCAAGTCCACTGCTGCCAAGTTGTACCCAAGTTCACATGCAAAGAGGAAGTGCAGGGAAAATGCTAAGAGCAAAATTGAACTGGAAATGGGAGGGGAAATCAATTGGAAAATGCTTTGAAATGATTGACTTGGGTTTGATTGCCACATGGGGGAGACCTAAGCCTAAACAGTCCTTTCAGAGCTGTGTCACATGGGAGAATCCTTCAGCAGACGCAGGGTGAGGCTCGACACTGTCTTTGTGACTGGTGGGACAGCTGGATGATTACATCAAATCGTACCACCAGATGACACGTGAAGACCTGGTGACATTCCTGGAAAAAAAACGATTAACAGCTCATGAAAAGCAGAACTCTTCCTACCCTGTAAATCCTTCTGACACACTTTAACTTTCCCCATTATGGCGCTTTCCCTCTAAAACGTGCATGCTAGCTGTGGGAAACAAAAACATACAGCCCCATGGGTTGTATGCCCAAAGCTTTCAAAGATACTGTGGATTCCCTAAAAAAGCCAAATGCTTCCTCAGGCAGGAAGTTGGACACAGGTTCTGTAGGATTTTAAATGACAACAGATTAACATCACTACAAAGTTAGCTTAACTAAAATTTGCTTTCACCGTAATGATTATTTCTTTAAATATAAAAAGCAGAATTGCTAAAAAGCTTCCTCTTAGATAATACAGTCCAGTCTACCCATTTTGTACCGTGCTAAAATCATCCAAAGGAAACAAATTGGGCATCCATCGAAGCACCATAGTCAGGATTAAAAAACAGACTTGCAGACACCTTTATGTAAAATAGTGAAGTACCTCATGAAGCAGCTAATAACAGGTTGCAGCTAGTTGTTGGTGTTTAAGTACAGATCCCTGACAGTTGCAGAACACAGGCACTTTTTAAAGTCACACTGAATACTGATGTGTATATCCCCAGTTCTATATCCCCACCAACAAGCCGGCTATACAATTTGTCCTTCGTGGCTTCTCATGCAGAGCATGCAAGAAGAATAACTTGAAGAAGTCTAGGATCAGGAGACAAGTCATATGGGCTTAAAGCCATTTTTGTGTCCCCCATACTAGAAACCCAGTATCTAAAGCTGATATCCAATGGTCTGTACTTTTAAATCCCTGCCTTTACCTTTACCTGCAAGGACTAACGTATTGCCAAAAGAGTTATTTGTGTTGTATTTTTAGACCAGGCACACTGAGTCTGGATATTTCAGAAAACTCAGGCTGACCTCTGATCTAGTGGAGCTGTGTGCCAAAGTATGTGTACTCGAGCTTTCAGTTAACCGCCCTCCATATGTACTTTCAAACCTCTTGAGGTCAACCTAGAGCGTGTTTCACAGCTGAAGTTCGTCATCTCTGAAATCACATTGAATCTTCTGCTTTCTGTTTACAAGCAAGAGAAGCTGCAGGTGGGCTTTTAAGTGCCTTTATTAAATATTTTAAGTATATATGTTTTAAATGTTTATTTAAATTATATAAATGTTTAATTATCTTTCTATATTACCAATGGCATGTTATACTTCACAAACATGTAGTTTAGCTGCAATTAACTTCAGATTTGTCCACTGCCTGTCAGACAACTGTAGATGATGGTACCCCACACTGGAGCCAGAGAAACTTGCACTCAGAGAAGTAGTTGGCTTGTCTAAAAGCACAACAAAATCAGCTTTGGATCTGTGACCAGAACCCAGCTTTCCCAAGTCCCACCTGACCAATACTTAAGATGTCTGGGGCATGGGAAGGCACCGGTTAGCTGTTGGTTATGAAAGACAGGGGAGTTAGTGTGAGCAAACCAACTTTCAAAGAGACATTCCCGTAAAAAATGGACATCCCAGTGATAGGGGGTTTGTTCTGCGCGTCTCATGCCAAAAGAAGGATCTGTGCCTACCCCTGTCTGTGGGTCTTCGTGAGCTCAGGATAACGGTGCTGTGTCTAATGACTCTACTCTTATTTCTGCTTAGTTTTCAGGACTTTACTTGTTGTCATTCTTCACTATCCTTGTTGGGCTGGTGCTCTACTCCTCCACGTCCACCTACGTAGCCCAGGATCCTCGGGTGTACAAGCAGTTTCGAAACCCTTCAGGACCTGTTGTAGACCTGCCAGCCACTGGCCAGCTGGAGCCTTCGGTAACATACACCAGCCTGGGGCAGGAGACGGAAGAGGAGCCTCACGTTAGAGTTGCTTAAACCCAGGGCTGTCGATTACCTACTGATGATTCAGTGGAGCTCGTATATCCATTATCTCTGTATTGTACATAGAGAAAGGTATTTACCAGGTGCAGTTACACCAGTGAGCTGCAAGGTAGCAAATAAGGAAAGCTCATAAAAATACAAATTAATTCTTCCAGGGTGTTCATTGCAAGGAGACGCCAGTCCCTCGTATGAGCAGCATGTTTGCAATACAAACTGCTGTATATGAATCAGTTAATGTCAAACTACCTGTGAAAGATATTCAATATATAAGCTGAAATTACAAAAAGAAATTCCTAGAAGGGTGGTTTTGCACCCACTGAGCGATATTATGCCTAAGCCACACCAGTTGTGGAAAAGCCGCCTTTTTACAGCAAATACACTTGTGCAGTCACTGTTAATTTCTCCCTAAGATTTGTTTGTTTGCACAAAACAGATGGGTTACTCGTGGTAGCAACACCCTGACACATTTTTGCTAGCACCTTGGATTTGGTGAGGGAAAGAATGAATTCATCTGTGCTATCTGTCTAGTTGCCCTTTCTGGGTAATCTGTTCCATGAATCCAGAGGAGGGACAACTTACAATATCCGTCTCTATTCTAGGAATAGGTATAAGGCGAGCATTTTAGCCTTTCTATATTTGCAGAAGTGAAGTACTCAAGCATTGACCTCTCTATGATCCATGGCAGATTTCCTAGTGGCTGAAGTTCTGCATCAGGTAACAGGGAGTTAGTTTCTCTGTAGTCATGACTTAACACAGATTTCTTACTTTTTAAATTTTAATCTGTAAAAAGAAAAATGCATTTTCTAGTTTCCTATGTATTGTACCTCTCCATGGCAAGATGACATATCATGTGGATCAGGGCACTTATTTTAGATACCCAGTGCATCGAGGGCTCCTTCTGCTGTTCCAGTTTGCTTAGTCTCCTGTGGTTCATTATTCTAACAGCAGCTATTTAGAAATGTGTCAGTTTTTCACCCAAATCCACAAACTGTAAAAATCAGGAAAATTAAGCAAGGAATTCATGAGCAGAAAAACTGGACCATTTGCTGGTGTTGCTGCAGTAGCACAAAGGCATTCATACTGGCAGGGTGCAGCCAATTATTTTTCATTAACTACAAAACTAGCAGAAGAATTCAGCAGTTTTCTTACATTCCTGGGGACACGTGAAAATAGTTAAGGATGTGCCCCACAACTGTACTTCTGCTCCAGGAGCCTTATCAAAATGGGGGAAATCAGTCACCACCATGAAAAAATCCATCTCTGCCTGTATGTTTGCTCTTCTGAGAGCCCAATAAAAGGAAATCATTTCAACATCCATCATCTATTTTTAATTTAAAATTAAGGAAGGGGAGATAGTCTTACATCTAACAGATAGGAGAGGGATCCAGGAGAGCTTGGTTTTATTCACAGATCTGCTGTATCTCTGCATGATCTTGGGCATGACTTACCTTCTGTGTGGCTGTTTCCCAATCTGTATATATGGGAATAATGATATTTTACCTACCTCACAGGGGTGCTATGGGACCAAGTTATTTTAAAATGCTTCAGGATCTTCAGAAGGAAGGAGATTAAGAAGTACACAATAGTGCTGTAAAAGTGTGTATACATTCATTGTATTTGAAAATGGAGTTTACGGCAGGGTTGATGAATATTTTGCTTGCGGGTGTAGAAGATGAATTCGATTTGAATGTTATTCTGCTGAAGAAGTCTGTCTCAAGCAAAAATGTAGGGCTTCATGTTTGAAAAATGCAACTATTTAAAAAAGAAAAAAAAAAATCTATCTGTACTCTGGAGATTAGAAAGGCCACACAGTTCAACCAAGCAGGATGAATTTCTGCTGAGGTAACATTCATCTTTTATAGTCCTGTTCTGCTTTAATGTAGAAGGGACTTCCTTGAAGCAGACTGGGAGAAGTAGGTGTGCATAATATACATCAAGTGGCAAATGCCAAAACACTGTTGAACAGCAGAAGTATGTTGTATCTTATTCTTGCTGTGGAGGAGGGGGAGAGGCCATTTCTGTCCCACTGCGTTCAGGCTGTCTGCCACGATCCTGCTGCAGCTGAGGGAAGGGTCCGCAGTATCGCCAAACCATGCCCAAAACCGGCCCAAAAGCTTCGGTTAAGATGGCTTGGTTTTAAAATCATAACAAATGTATGATTTTTTTCCCCGCCTTCTGTTTATTTAATCTTTTTAGCACTCATGTTTCCAAGCTTTTTCTCTTAAACCACTGAAGATTAAAAAAAAAAAAAAGATTCCCACAGAGAAACGGAGTCCATATTCTGGGGATATTAAGGAAAGTCTAAATACTACGGGATTCAAAGAAAAAAAATTAAAAACCACACAAGAAAGATTACCTGATACTTCAGGGTAAGGTCTGTGGGGTGGAAGTCCAGGTGGGAAGCGCATGGTCGGGTGAAGCCCTCATGCACAGGGGCCAGCCAGCATCCTCGGGTCGAGCCCTGGGAGGGCTTTGACTTGAGGCAGGTTGCCCCAGGAGCAGGGGCTCTGATTACAACCACCGTGGCTCCCTCAGGTACCCAGAGGCACACTGTCGGGCACCTGTTATCTCAGTCTTTTTTGCTACCTTTTGTACCAATTAAATACCTTTCTCGGAACATTAGTCCCCGTGTTGGTCTTGAGACCTTTGAGGATTGCGTGCGTGCGTGTTTGTTTCATGTTTACAATTCCTTCCTTTTGCATAATTGTTTTGGTTAATTTCATTATTAGTATTTATTTTTAAGCCAAATGTTTGTAGTCTTTCCGCCTCCCCCTCTTCATTTTTCTGACACTAACTTGTAGACGTTTGTTAGACTCTTCTCAGAAACAGCTGGGCAGGAGGCATCTCCTGGCCAGGTCACTGGGCTGGGAGTTTTTACATACAAGGATTTGCGATCCACGGGTGGCTGAGAGGTGCCATCTGAAGCAATTTTTGTAGGCTATCTTAAAAGGCTCTGTTGTGCGGAAATGTTATGAATGTTTCAGTGTGCCCTCTGCGCCCAGCCACCCTCCCCTGTGTTACTTGCACAGGAGGAGTTTGATGTGCAAAGTGGGGCTGCTTCACTGTCTGTGTCTCCCGTTAAACAAGGTGGATACTTGGATGAGCACCGGTGCGCTAGCGCTGGGTGGACCTCAAAGGAAAACAGTAGTATAGCTGTACAAGTAACTGTGTTGACTGAAAAACTGAGGTCTAGTAAAGGAAAACATCACTTCTACCTGCTTGTTTTCTGCAGTTCGAGACCTCAGTACGCACCAGCAAAGGTTCAGCTATCTAACCGGCAGCTACTCTCCGTGTTGCGTAGGACATCTCTAGCTCTGTATAGCTCCTTGCCTGAACAAACTGAAACTCTGTTATACTGCTGGCCCTGAGCAGCCCTTAGCAAGACTGATGTAATTTTCTGCTACTGGATGAAAACCTTCACTGGGAGACAGACCTTGTCTTTGCTCCAGCTATAAACTTTCAAAACACACAACGATAGACCAAGCAATTGAAAATTTTGCACCACTGTGTCATAAGAAGAAGTTTCAATGTATAGTGTAGAGATTGCTAACTTGTGCTATTAACATTTTGACAAGCGTGTGGTATCGTTTTCTTTCCTTTTTTTTTAAACCATTTAGTATTCCTGCGCTAGCTACAAATATGAATTTTACCCCATGGGTAGGATTTTATTGTTAAATGCCATAATAAAGCACACTAATCTTGACACCACAGATGGAAATACGAACCAAAACCAAAACCAAGCAAACAAAATCCCAACCCCAAGTCCTGCATCAAAAAGCTGAACAAACCTTTCTCCATTTTGATATTTGCATGCTCCTATATGGACTGGCTGTGGCAATGTAATGCCTGTATAATGTTTTCAAATAAAAAAAATAAATGCTTTATGAAAGCGGGGTTATTAGTTTCCTTGCCTGTTTCCTTTCTGCTTTCTTAGCCTAAAACAATTTTTCTGAAGTGTAAATCTTGACTGCGGGGCATGATTTGTCACTGTGCTGAGGACTTCTTTCCCTTGTGAGCTGGTTAACCTACAACTCCTTCCAAGGTGTCTAAGCATAGGTGCCATTAGGCACCCCTGGGTGTCTTGCCTGGCCCCGAGGTGCTGCTCCAGAAGAATAAGGGGTCTGCTGTGCACGCTCTGTCTTAACCTGCCATTCCCCTATGGCTCGCTTGGGTATCCTGATATTCTTTGCCCCTCATTTGGACACAGAAGCACAAAAGCACTCCCCCCGCTGCCTTCCTGAACTGGCTAATCACTCTAGAGTTAATCTGGAGTATGTATGATGTCGAAGGGCTTGTCTGGCAGAGGTTACTGAGTGTCTGCAGCTGCCTTGCACAGCCCTCCCTCCCGGCTGCTCGGCCCTGCAGGGGCACCTGCAGTGGCCCCGCTGCAGCACTATTCCCTGGAGAGTCCTGAAGCAGGAAAAGAAAGGATGGAGACAAAAATTAGCCATCAGAGGGAAAAGGAGTGTCACGAGGAGCAGAATTGAAGAAAGAAAGAAAGAAAGAAAGAAAGAAAGAAAGAAAGAAAGAAAGAAAGAAAGAAAGAAAGAAAGAAAGAAAGAAAGAAAGAAAGAAAGAAAGAAAGAAAGAAAGAAAGAAAGAAAGAAAGAAAGAAAGAAAGAAAGAAAGAAAGAAAGAAAGAAAGAAAGAAAGAAAGAAAGAAAGAAAGAAAGAAAGAAAGAAAGAAAGAAAGAAAGAAAGAAAGAAAGAAAGAAAGAAAGAAAGAAAGAAAGAAAGAAAGAAAGAAAGAAAGAAAGAAAGAAAGAAAGAAAGAAAGAAAGAAAGAAAGAAAGAAAGAAAGAAAGAAAGAAAGAAAGAAAGAAAGAAAGAAAGAAAGAAAGAAAGAAAGAAAGAAAGAAAGAAAGAAAGAAAGAAAGAAAGAAAGAAAGAAAGAAAGAAAGAAAGAAAGAAAGAAAGAAAGAAAGAAAGAAAGAAAGAAAGAAAGAAAGAAAGAAAGAAAGAAAGAAAGAAAGAAAGAAAGAAAGAAAGAAAGAAAGAAAGAAAGAAAGAAAGAAAGAAAGAAAGAAAGAAAGAAAGAAAGAAAGAAAGAAAGAAAGAAAGAAAGAAAGAAAGAAAGAAAGAAAGAAAG